ATTGAGATACAAAATAATTTTTGAACATTTTTATGGTTTCAAGGTTGATTTTTTTCTTTGTGTGTATATAGGTGTATGTATGTGCATGCACATGTGTGCATGGGAGTATGCATGGGCGTGTGGATACACCTGCTCACGCATATGTGTGTATATATAGAATGTCATGGTTATTTCACCTTTACATTGTTTTCCTTGTCTCTTTATACTCTCCCCTTATTGCTTTTATACCTTTTTCTCCCTTTCAACTTTGAGTGTCAGAGACAAATGTAGCAATCCGGCATCTGGTTTGGAAACAGTCACTGCTCTTAGTAATTCTTGAGCATTCTAGGGCTTTCTTGAGTTTGGAAAATGTAGCTGTATTTCATTGATTTTATTATTGATGCTTAAATAGTAAGGTAAATATTTATATATGTCTTCACTTGCACATTATTTCATTTTTTTTATTTGATTTGGTGGTATCTTAAGTATTAGAGTTATAATTATAGGAAGTTATGATTAAATTTTATTTATGATTAAATTTGTATGCATATACCTACAATCATACCTTCATGCACACATACACACGCACACATACACACACATGTGACGTCGCCCCCCCCTGGTCGCAGCGTCGACTCTGTCGTTCGATCTCGTTCGCGGCACTAGTTGTGACGTCACGTGCTCTCCAGGCTCTGATATCCTGGTCACGGACAGCACCAGTTGTGACGTCTTTGCTGCGGCGTCAGCTGTTCGCTCCTCGCTGCTCCAAGTGTGACGTTCTAACCCTTTGGTTAGATGAATACCAGCCTCGCCGTTCCCAACTTGCTTCCAACGCCTGGTTACTAGGGTAACTGCACTGATCTCCGGTCTGCCTACCCACGTTGTGATTAGATCTTAGACAGACAGGATCAAACAGGGATTGGGGCTGTATGCCAGCTGGGTTCAACGGGGGTGATAACACACAAAAAAAAAAAAACTCACGAGGTCAAAAAATTATTGAAAAAAAGGGTAACAACCTTTTATATCTAAATGTTCGTTACACAAAATTGTTCCTACCTCCCGACCCGTTTTATGGACTGTGGCACCAAGCTTCTACCATACAACTTTAAGACTTCGAGTTGCTTGTTCTCTAGAAATTTGCATTTCGGGGTGTGGTTTGGTTTCGACACTGGGCGCTGATCTCTACCAGTCGTTCACGGCTGATTTCCCTCGCCATCAGTGCGCGAATTGCAATTCTTCTCTTCTGCTTTGGTTGGACGGATTTATTCACTTGACTTGAGTTTGGATGAATTTATTCACTTCAACTTGTCTTGGACGAATTTCTCTTCTTAGGCTTGGTGTGATTCAACTTCTCCTAGTCACCACTGCAAGTTAACTTCTTCTTCGTCCCAGGGCAAACCCAACTCAACTCTCTTCTCTGCCTGTCCGGCCTGGGCAGGGCCCGCCGTCTGCCCTGCAACTCTTCTGCCTGTCCGCCTGCAACTGGGATTTCTGTCGATTGGGGTCCTGCTTGCATTGAGGCTTCTGCCTGTGGGTCTGTCGGCGCCAGGGTTTTCTTGATAATTCAAAAAGTCGCATTATTTCTGATTTCCCATTATCGGCTCTTACTTTCACTCCTACTTCCTTACAGTGCCTCTGGGGGGCGCATACCCGCTTCCCCCTGGTCTCTCGTATGTCAGGTGACCGCTCTCGACCAATGGGGTCCTGGTCGAGCATCTTTTTCCTCCCCTCGCACATCACGTGACCGCTCTCGGCCAATGGGACTCTGGTCGGGTCTCTCCTCCTCCCTCATGTATCATGTGACTGCCCTCGGCTAATGAGACTCTGGTCGGTATCTTCCCTCCTTCCTTCGTGACATCTCCAATCGGGCATGTACAATCCGGGGCTTTGTTCTGGGGAAGAAACACCTTGCAAAAAAAACAAAATTTAAATTGTCCTTTTTCGTATTCGAAAATGACAGCGGTATTTGTCAAAACAGCCCGCCGCTAATTAGATGTGACTTCTAAGAAAAGACTTTTTTCGACCTGTCGGCGTCTTCCGTGAGCTAAAACAAATATTTCACCTCTTTCTTTCGCTCGGGCCTGTTAACAAAATCTTAATTATCTAAATTGAAAATATCTTCCACTCATCATCTTGGGTGGTTCTTATCTTCAACCCCAGAACTGGTCAGGGTTCGTGTATTAAGGTTTTTTTTTTTTCGTATACATTTCCCAGCGGTTACTTATCATCTCAATGACACCCCTTTTCGTTCGTTACCTATTAATATTTTTTCCATTGTCCTTAAAATCTTATTTCTTCAACCAAATTGATAACAAACTCCCATACTCCTCGGACACGAAAGTAGGTCAGGTGCTTGACCGACATCTGTTATGCATCAATCGACGTGTGCCCTATTTGCTCACTACCCCGTCTTTTATCATTATTTCTAAACTCTATTCCTTCAACCAATTATAACAATTTCTATTTTTCCGTGGATTTCGGTCAGGTACTTTGACCTAGATATCTTTTGACACCTGTTTTGTGTTAGTTTTAAGCGGGTCTGCTTATGACTGGGTTTTTGTACCATCTATTTCTCTCTCTTTTTTTTTTTTTTTTTTTTTTTTCTTTTCTTTTTCGGATCGCCTAAATACAATTAGAGAATTATTCTCAAAACTCAATTATTCTTCGTCTCTAAATAACTATCAACTGGTTAACAAACCGAATAAAAAATAAATCATATATTTATGAATATCTCTCTTCAGTTTTCTAATGATGCATGGTGCCACACACAAATAGACATATATATCTATATATAAAAAACAGAGGATGTCTGTGTGACACCTTTTCACCCAAGACCCATCCAGCCAATTCTGACAAAACTTGGCACATACATTGTACAATGTAAGAGATAGGCTCTTAGCATAAAAAATTGATAATTTTTAAAAAATCAATAATCAATAAAGCCAATCAAAAATCAATAAAATTCAACTTTTTTCCTCCAATTTCCTTCAAATTCGGTATGCAGGTTACTTACATCATGATGAGCTCAACAATACCTCATTTTTATTTCTATGCTACTGCATTTATCAAAGAACCATGAAAAATGAAAAATCAATTTCAACACAAATTGATTTCAACACAAATTTTGAACTAAAAACTCACTAAATTTTCAAGCAATTTAATACAAACTTCACTCAGTTGTAGCCAACAATAAGTTGATTGTTTAACAGTCATTTAAATTGATAATTGAGTCCACCCATATAGTAAAAACCCATGTAAATAGCAAAAAAATGACGATTTTTACTGGTTTCTTTCTTATTTTTCATTGATCTTTCAACCAATTAATACAGAATACTTCTGTTATATCAGTAACTGCATTAATTCAAAATGTTTTTTAATGAAAGTACTTGAAGAAGATAGACTCTTTTACATCTAAACATGATACTGTTTTTGCTCCATTCTAATTGAATGTATTTTCTGATTGACCAGCTAGGTATGGCTGCTAGTACTTATATATATATATGTGTGTGTATGTGTACATACATTCATGCACACAAAGGTATACATACATGTATCTGTGCTTTTATATTAATATATTAATTAATTAAAAGATTTGTGAAAGCTGCTCAGCAACTTTGACATATTCAGAAAGACATTAGAATAATCAAAAATCTATGTTGGCAGCAAACCGCCTGCATACAGACAAAAAATGAGTCTAACAAATTTACAAAAATAGAAAGAGGTGTAAAACAAGAATGTGTCTTCTCAATGAATTTATTCAACCTATACAGCAAGTCAATTCTGAGAGAATTAGAAGTCCTATCAGGATTTATTATTGGCCACCACAATCTTAACAACGTAAGATTTGCAGATGACAGTGTTGATAGGTGACACAGAAGGGAAACTACAAAACCTCCAACAGAAAGTAGCAAAGAAAAGTGAGAAGAAAGGACTAAGCATAAACTACAAGACAGAATGTATTCTTATTAGCAAAAGGGCAAGAGCCCAAAATGCAATTTACAAATTGGGGATACTAAAATCAAATAAGTACAGAAATTTAAATCTCTTAGAAGTGTTCTGACAGAGGACAGAATGTGCAACACTGAAATATAAGGATGTAGTGGAATGGCCAAAGTTGCCTTCCAAAAGCTAAGCAGGGTATTAAGAGACAAAAAATTTCATTACAAACAAAGGGGACTGTTAAATGATATCTGTCCTCCTGTATGGTAGTGAATGCTGGTCAATCTCCTCAAAGTGGAAGAAGAAATTGAAGCCAACAGAAATGTGGTTCTACAAAAAGATGCTGAGGATACCATGGACTGAACATGCAAGCAACAAGGTTTTGGAGACAATGGAAACAAAAAGGAAACTTTTGCTTAACATCAGGAAAAGGTAATTGAAATTTATGGAGTACATAATGAGGAAGTGGGGCTTAGAAAATTTGATACACGTCAGATTAAGGCACAAAGGAAAGCAGCCCATAACATACTTGATAATCTTGAATAAATGAATAGTAGAACAGGGTTTGGGAGAAAAAACAAAAAGATAAAACTTATTAAGAGCTACAACGGACAGGAAGATGTGGAGGGCCATAATCGCCTATGTCTTGAAGGGACACAGCACATAAAAGAAGAAGAAGAAGAATACTTAAATGGTAAGGTGTTTTTTTTAATCTGGCTTGGTGGTAGTTCAAATGTTAGGGTATTAATTATGGTTGGTTATGTTTAGAGACGTATCTTCTTTGTTGTTAGAATATATGTATATAATATATACATATACACACACACATATATATAAACACACACATGCACACATACACATGTATACATTTAATAAATATTTAGGTAGTAAATATTTGTTTATATCTTATCATTTATGTATTTTTTTCATTTTTATTTACAATTTCTTATTATTAATAGTCCATTTTCTCTGAAAAGACCCATATCTTTTTTGTTAATTATATTTGCTAATTTGTTGTTTATGTATATGTCTATGAGCCAGCGACCTAAGAACCATCATAGCTACCCATTGCTACATCAAAATTATTGTTTTGGCCATTTCTGGTTCATATTTGCATATAGAAAATGCATGCTTACCGCTAATTCAGCTTCTTCCTCAGCTAAGCGACTTTTCTTGATAGCTTCCTCCTCCTCAGCCTTTTTACGAGCCTGCTGCATTTTCTCAAACTTGCTAGTCAGATCTTTAGGTGGCTTCACTGTGTACTTCTTGAAGCTCTTTGTAGTTTCTTGCTCTGGCACCTGACAAACATCAAAGTAAAACATTTTAAACAGTACACCATCCTAACAATTCACAATGCACACATGAATTGTTTAGAAAGATATGTTGACTTGTCACCTTACAGAATATGCATACATGTCATGAATTTCAGTCACTATTACCTGTAAAGAATGAATCTTACTGTAAGAAGAAAAAATAACATAAAAAATAAATTTTACTGTAAGAAGAAAAAATAACAAAGCAATCAATTTGAGATCAGCCATTTTTTAAGGAAATAGGAAAATAATACTTTCAAATTATTACTTGAACCAACTGGATATTACTTGACCTTCTTAATTTTATGGGCTGTCAAAATTAACCTTCTCATTCAGTTCTTCTCAAAAGCCCATATCTGCTCAATTATTTGGAGTGGAGGGATTGAAGAAAAATTTCAAAGACACAAATGGACTCCAGGGAAAGTCTGTTGTACTGAAGCTTCCCTAACATTGAGTTCAAGGTGTGCAAGGGAATGCTAGCACTGATGGGAGCTGGGGCAGAAATTGTGCACCAAGCTAAGAAAGACACACGCTGACAGACACAGAGGAGTCATGGCCATACCAATTCGCAGTCATAGTCATAAAGTCAAGCAGTCGTAAGTCACATAAGCTGACAATGACCTGTATAAACAAACATTGGTTTAATTACACATAAAGAGAAATATCCTACATTATAATAGCAGTTGTTTCATTAAGAAAGATGCAATGCTGTATGCCTCTAGGCATAAATTTACCATGGAAAACTTAGAAATCAGTACACTTTCTATATATTTTCACCTTAATAAATGATCTTTTATGTTAATTAAAACAGTATTCTTCAAGTTTATGATGATGGGGGACTAATGCATTGGATGCATTGTTTCATAAAATATACCTTTTATGTTTATGTCTTTTATTTAAATTCTTAGAAGTTATGCCTATATATTTCTTGTGATAGTTACTTCAGTCTATACTATAAATTCCTATATTTTTTTATATTAATATAATCTCTTATTGCTTCGAGAGTAGTTGTAACAAATTTTATATTAAGTTCGGATACATTCTTTACATTTGGAGTTGTTATTAATTTGGTAGGTAGTATGTCGACTTTTATATTGATTAGAAATTAATATCCACGGGCCTAAGCAGTAGAAGGTCTTATTAAATGAAGTATATCTCTCGGCAAGAATCAATGATTTTCTTTAATATAACACTAGGCCAGTGGATATTAATTTCTTCTTTTAGAAAAAGTTGTGCACATCCACTAATAATAGCAATGGTGTTAGATAATGTTGGCTTTAAATAATCTAAAAAAAAAAATGTTTATGATCCAAGGTAGGTAACTACAGTATTTTACTAAGCAGAGTAACTTCCCTTACACTAGGCCAGTGGATATTAATTTCTTCTTTGGATGTACAACCACTAAACTAATGTTTATAATAATAGCAATGGTGAAGACAATGTCGGTTTTAAATAATCTCAAAAAAAAAAAAAATTGGGATCAAAGGTAGATAACTACAGTATTTTACTAAGCAGAGTAACTTCCCTTACATTGAACATTTCTGTAATGTGTAGAAAAAAGTGTACCACTTTAGCGTATATATTCTTACCGATCATTTTTTTGCTTTAGTGTGTATCCTACCACCACATTTTTATCCTAAAGTATTGTTCCGACTTTTTTCTCGATATGTTAAAAAATACATTCAGAATGTTTTTTAATATAACGAATTCAAATAACTTGTTTTAAGATTTTTTAGTCAAGATTTTTAATTTTATTTTACAATTTTTATTTTAAATTTTCTAGATTTTTTCCTTAAAAAAAATGTTAACAGATGTAATCATTAAAACGAAAAAAAATACATTGTTTTAATAAATATGTTTATGAAAACACTAATGAACTTGAAATAATTTCTGAAAGAGAAAAACTCAAAAAAAATCGATAAGAAGTTTTTACTTAAATGAGGACAAGAGGTGATCTAAAAAAAAAAAAAAAAAAGAATAGTGTAACCCGGATATAAGAGAGTTGTCGGGACCGGAGAAGAAGTCTCTTATATCCGGGTTTCTCTTATATGCGGGTTTGGTCTATTTTGTTTAGGTAACACAGGCTCTAATTTGGGACCAGAGAAAATCTCTCTTATATCCGGGTCTCTTATATCCGGGTTACACTGTATCATGGCTTTATGATCTACCAACACCCGTAAAACAGCCAATCCGATGTGAACTATCACATATAGAATTGGAACGGAAAACTGTGACAAAAATTGAACCCTACTTCTTGATATGATAAGCTCTTCAAAAAATTAAGAATTCTACTGATTGAACCCTGCGTTCCTGAACAATAACCGTTCTGTTTGAGCCCTGAGTCAAAATTCGCAAATAATTGGTATCACGGTAGATATAAAAAGAATTACAAGTGTTTAGTTTACCCACCATTCAACCTGTACTTGTGCATTAAGTCATTTTTCTCTACCACTGTTCAACCAGAGGCTTGGCATTATGTAATTTTTCTCTACCACCGGTAAATCGGTGGTCAGGGCTCAAAGGGTTAAACGAGGGTCAACGTTCATGGGGACAAAAACAATGAAAAAGGAAAAAAACTATACAAGGGAGGTAACTAAGATATACTAAAAGCACCGATGAACCTTAAAAATAATTTCTGAAAGAAAAAAACTCAAAAAATCGATTAGAAATTTACTTAAATGAGGACAAGAAGTGATCTAAAAAAAAAAAAAAAAAAAGTATTATGACTTTATGATCTACCAACACTCGTAAAACAGTAAATCCGGTGTGAACTATCACATATAGAATTGGAACAGAAAACTATGACAAAAAAATGAACCCCACTTCTTAATACAATAAGCTCTTCAAAAAATTAAGAATTCCATTGATCTTAAACGGGAGACAACGTTCATACGGAATAAAAATAAGAAAAAAATGTAAAAGGAAAAACTTTGCAAGGGAGGTAACTACGATATACTAATTATAGAATACAATTTCCTATTTATTTATTTTCTTTAAATTGTGAGTTAATTTAATGATATAATATTTCCATCATAATTGATGACTTATCATATACAGGGATGCCCAAAGGTTGCTTTACCTATTTCCAATAATGATAAACATAAATTTCTAAATAACATAACTTTTATTTAATCATCATACAATTATAATTTCAATATAACAGTTACATTTTCTTTATTTTTGTTGATATTCACGTGCTTTGGATGCCCAATTCTTTTTTACTATCTATTTTGAAATCATTTAGAAATTTGTCTTTATTATTATTGAGAATGGGTAAAGCAACTTTTGGCCATTACTGTATATACATATATAGATAAGTAGACAGATAGATGGATGTATATATGTACATATATGTGTGTGTGTGTGTATATATATATATATATATATATATATATATATATATATATATATATATATATGAAGAAATATAGTCTTAAGTTGTGCTATATTTATGGGATAAAGTGCTCAATATCAGAGATAGAGCAGTTTGTGTAAATATAAAAGTGAACATAGAAGTCAACACTTAGAGGCGACAGTCTGTTTCATGCTAGGTGCAATTGTCAGGCCTGATAATTGTCGCCTTAATAAAACTTTAAATATAAATATATATATATATATATATATATATATATGTTTGAAAAGGACAAGGTGGAACATGCTAAGGTTAAGCGCAATCTTCATAAAGGTAATCTTGAAGTGCTACCTTCCACCCTAAACTAACAGCATGTATATAGTTTATACTTTATTTTTCATCTTTTTTGCAGTGATGCTCACACATCCCATTAGAAACTGTAGCATTAGTGTTTATTTGTGTTTCCAAACTACTGAGAAAGTTTTTGACCTGCAAAGTTAGCAAGTTATTCATGAGCTTTTTATGCTGATGATGCTGACACTTACGGCATTCACTTCACCAATTTTTATTTTATTTTCAAATAAATTATATGTACATATATGTGTATGTGCGTGTGTGTTTATATATATATATATATATATATATATATATATATATATATAGATGCCCCCACCCAGGCATAAATCAGACCTGTTTCCTACACAGTTTGATTCCAGTCAGAGGACACATATTTTCTATGAAATTTCTCAGACATTCAGGGCAGTAAATGTTGTTAATACTCTTTATTATTAACAGAGCATTTGCTTAAATATGTGTCTCTATAAATAATGTATAGCAATAAAATATGTTAAAATAATTGTTGGACTTCCATTTCATAGTGTGTGACATCATCTGTTTATGTTAAAATACGCTTCAAGCAGATATGGACGTTTGAGGAAAATAATGGGAAATTTGTATTTTAAAAGCAGTAAAATTGACCTTGCTCACCAGACGCTACTTCATAGTTACACTAGAATAGCACATCAGGCTATATGATGGTTACATGTAGGATATAGGCTTGATTCCTGTTGGAGGATTTATTTTCGATTAAATTTCTCGGACGCTTAGGCTAGTAAATGTTGTTAATACTGTTTAATATTTATTATAAACAGAGCATTTACTTAAATATTTGTGTATATATAAATAATGTATAACAATAAAATATATTAAAATAATTGTTGGACTTAGTCCATTTCATAAATATATGTATATATGTTATGTATGTACACACACACACATATATATGCATGTATATATATATATATATATATATATATATATATATATATATATATATATATATATATTTACCAAAAAAAAAAATGTGACTCAGCAATAATTTTTTCAATTATTTCAACTTTAATTACAAATAAAAAATTTTATTTATTTTTTCAATTAAAAATATACATATTATTAGTAAAATTAAAAAATAATTAGGAACTATTATTTTTTGGAAAAAACATAAAAAAATGACTATTTTTGAGTATTTAACAAGTTTTCTACTGTGCAAAAAATTTTTAAAAATGTGACATTATTTTAAAATACCTTATAATTTCATTTCCGTAATTTTATTCCAGAATATTCTTGAAAGTTC